AATTGAGATTAACTTAATGACTCTCCCTTGAGATAATATAAATATCTAGCAGACTTCAGTTTCTTGTTTTAGAATTCAAAGATCACTTGATTGTGCTGGAAAAAAAAATATCACAGTCCTTTTTGAAGTGCATCCTTGGGGCAGCTAACTAGCCTCTACAGTGTAACTAAAGGAACAATTACAAGAATATACCCTCACACATAAATTTCCCCAAGTATTCTTTTTGCATTTTATTTTATTATTACTGTCAAGTATACAGTACATTGGTTATCCCCAATTATTTTCAAAACAGACATTTCTCAACCGTTCTTCACTGTCTTATCAGAACATTAAGACTTTTTTCCTTTGTATTTTATCATTTTGGGTAAGGATTTTAAAATTTTTCAACATGACACTTCAGGATAACCTGCAATTTCAGCAACTGTTTTGCACACATGCACTATAGATATCTGTACTAAATTAATTTCAATAACTAGTCACAATTTTTTTCCTAACAAAAAATAAAGTATTAAGAAAAACCACAGATTTTGATTCATTCCTACCCAATTTTAAGTTCCAGGTAAAACTTAGAAACTCTTGCTTTTCTCAGAAATCTATTCCTTTCAGTCAAATGCTAAGCAGTTCCTAGGTATGAAGATCGAATTCAGGCGTGAGAGGGAGGCGTGATCAACGCAGTACTGTGGTCAAAGTCAGAGACTAAAGTCTAAAGTATGTCTGATTACCTATAACAGATCAAGAAAATCAATGACGTTACTACATAGTATTCTTTCTTTTCAAAGTAAATCCCACCCAGGTCAGAGTCCATACAGATTTTAAACGTCTAGAAATCAGAATGCCCAGTTAAGGTAATATAAGGATGCAGCTAAGCTTGCCTTGTGGAAAGAACACACTCTGGTTTCCATGCTATGGGCTTTGAAGCTGGCCATTTTCTATTCAGTCCACTGCAGTTATCTAGCAGAGACCCCAAGCCACGCTTGCTGTATCTGGATCCAGGGCTTTAGGTTTCAGATTTCTCTTCATCTGCACTATCAAAATTGATCAATTTCTCCTAGGATGCCAATTCTCCCAACTGCCCTACTGGTTCTTGAACTTCACCATCTAGACTCCATCCTTAAGTTCAGTGTGGCAAAGGGGAAAAGTAAAAAAGACTTGACACGGAGTCTTAGTTCTATATGTTCTTCCATTGGCTCTTGGAACCCACGCTATAGGTCAGAATCCCACACAGCCATATGTACCACAAATGCTAAGTCTCTTCATGAAATCTTGCCTGATTTCTCTCAATCAAATGTGATTCATCCTCTATTTAAGACTCCATAAAACTTGACTAATCCAGGTACACAGGATGACCAGTTCAAGGGCATTATAGTATTTACTATTTCTTGGATTAAATTCCATCCACACCCCTTACCAACACTGTGACTGAGTAAATTGCTTAATCTCTCTGGACAAGGCTCCTTTATTTATAAAGTCTTCTTTGCTAGGTGGGGATGGGGGTAGGGGATGTTAGATAAAATGTATGTAAAGTGCTTAACTCAGTGCCTAAGACACATTAGACATGTGATAAACAGTAGCCATTATTTTACTTTTCTTATGGGTCAGTTCATATTTTGCCTTACCCTGTGGTTATTTGACGACTGAGTATACTTTTTGTATAATGAATTCCATTAAAACATGGACTGCATCTTATTCATTTTTTAAATAACCTGCAGTACAGATATATGCATTTAAGAGGCATTCATTCATAGCTATTTAAGTAATAAAATGTTTAACAGTATGACCTTGTTATATTTATTTTGACTCATCGGTAACATTTTTTCTAGATCATGGGCAATGCAATATATGTGATGTCCACATAGATGGCATTCAAAATAGACTTGACTAACTTAAAGTGTATGCAATGGGATGTTACTTATGCAGATTGCTGCTCAAGAGGAAAAGATTAAAACCAAGTCAAGGGTGATAGAAGTGATTTTTCTATGGCAAGCTGTCCCGCCATTCAGCTGTCATACCAGCTGCCAATAGCTCTGTCCTTGCAGCCCCTTAGTGGAACACAGCCAGGGTGTGCAGGGATAAAAAAGAAAAAGTGAACCCAGAAAGGGACTGTAGGATTTACACGCTGTTCTCCAATTTCATTAACCCATTGCTTCCACATTACAAGTCAAGAAGCTAATAATCAAATTACTTGCTCTTAGATTCAAAATGCAAACAGTGTACTATAACTATGCCAAAAGGGATCGCCACCCCCACAATGACAATTAATAGAAAATAAATGAATCAGTGAAAATAAATCGGTGTTTAAAAACTCAAGAAAAATATTTTAAAATAAATTGTAACCGGTAAGGAAACCATATGAGAAAGTAGTCATGAAATTCAATATTGTGGGGTTATTCCACAGACTTAACAAAAATGATCACCCAATCTGCCTTACTTTTCTAGTAACAATTTCTTATTTATTGCACAATTCCTGTTTTCCAGAAATGTGGCTGACTAAATATCATCTTTGCTTTGTAGAGTGACTTTCAATTTGATATTAGTTACCGATTTAAGACCTTGAATTTTTGAAAAGCTGCACAACTTTCTCTAGTAAAGTAAGGATTCAGTTCTAGGTACAGTACAAGCAACTCAGGTAATATATAAATTAAAGAGAATAAGAGTGATGATATCCTAATTACAATGCTGTAATCCAGAAATGTCTCTTTAGAATTCTGAATTATTTAGTCCTAAATTGCAAACACGTATACGACGTAATATACATATTAAAATAGGTACTTTAAGAGTTAAGCTTTTATTGAAAGTGTAAAAGAAAAGTGCCAAAATACTAGGAAACCTTGGATGGGTTATGATGGACATTAAACAAACTGTACCTCGGTTGTATGAGTACTCCCGTTTACCCTCTAGCAAAAAATGCAATGAATGCGTCAACTTGCACGACACACAGGAATGAAAAAGTGTAAAATTTAAGAGTTCTTTTCAACCTCATTCTGTAAAATTTAAAATTGTATCTACAAATGGTTTGATGGTCATATGTATTCGTTCTAGTCAATTCTAATGTACACATTTTAATTTAAAACCTTTCATCGGCATGTTTGAACGTGTTGACCTTTTAAATTTTGTTAAAATGACCTTTCTTAAATTTCACAATCCCTCTGAACACCTTCCAAGGTACGTTATCACGTGCCTTCACGGCAACGAGTAATCTGGAGTGGAGGGAACCTTGGAATCTACAATAAGCTGTAAAGTTTCCCGTCTGGTCAACTGCCTCACTTCTCCAGCTACGCCCAACCAAGAACTTCCTTCGCTTCACTCTCTAACACTGAGCTGAAACTCTACATATACTCAGGCCTCGAGTTCGGGGGAAGCCCTTTCTGGCCAATCAGGGTTCCCCAAGCTATTGCGTCACACCTCCCCTCTGAGCGTTACGTCAAAGGCAATCCCAGCCAGCCACGTGGGTTGGAGGAGTGTAGCGTTTCTGGGCAGCTGTTTGGGAGACACCCGGCGGCAACGGTCCCCAAGGGCGGGGAACTGGGCAGGGACAGGGCTCCTACACGCACCTCCTGGGAAGCGCAGCTCGAGCAGCTCGCTCGTCCCGGAGGCGGGCGGGGCGGGTAAGTCCAAGTCCTGAGCGCGGGAGTGTGGGGGATGGAGCGGGGGAGCTGGCACCTAAGGCTGTGTAATCGGAGCCAGGTCTTGTAAAGCCGCCTCCCCAGGCACCGCCTCTCCGCTCCCAGCTCCTCTTTCCAGCCTTAATTATCCTTTCAGCGCCGTTTCCCCTCGGCTGCGTTTCCTTGGCTGGGGGAAAAAGCCTCCCTCGCCTCCCGGTTCTCGCCCTCACACAGACCCTCCTTTCAGACCCGCCCCCTGGCTCACAGGGACCTATTTCGGAGCCCTCGCTCGTGCTGGGCGGGAACCAGCGTGACGGATTCCGCCCCAGGTGTTGATTATCCATCCCTACCCGGCCTCTGGCTCGCCTCCCACCTTCACCCCCGGCTCCCGCGGACCTCCCCACCCCCACCCCCACCCCGGGCTGGGCACTCGGGACGGCGCCCCAAACACCCCCGCCAAGCCGTGCCCCTCGCTGCAGCTGCCGAGAGAAGCGCCAGCGTGCTCCATGCCACGTCGGAACTGGCTCCCGGGACCTCGCAGCTGCCTGCGCGCCGCGCGCGGTCCCCGTGCACGCCCTGCGGGCGGGCGGGCGGCCGGTGGGCGGACCCGGAGCGGCGAGGAGGGATGCGCGCCCTCCTCCCGCTGGGGTCTGCGACAGCCACAGCTTGCGTCAGGACCCCTGGCCCGAGTAAGGCTTCCGGAGCTGGACTGAGCTGGGACAGACCCAGCCTGACACTTTAATGGGGTGCAGGGAGTGCAAAGGAGGGGAGGCCGGGGAAAGAGAGGGGAGTGGCCGAGCGAGGCCAGTAGCAGCTGGGAGGTGGCGAAGGACCCTCCTTTTCTGGGGTCCCAGCTCTCTGGGAGCCCGGATCACTTTAACCCTTTGCGTTACGAGTAAGAAGTGGGCTTCTCCCTTGGAAGTAAAATGCGCTGGGCTGTTCCAGGGTTTTCCTCCCCATATCGAGCGGGTGGGGTGGGGGGCGGGGAGAAGGAAAGGGACGGGAAGGTAAGCGGGAAGGAGGAGGCTGTGCGGAATACGTTCTCCTTACACAGAGGAAATTCGTGTTTCCTAACTCGGGAGCTCCCTGCGGCCCCGGAAGATGCGGAATGGAAAAGTACGTCCTGGGACGTGCAGTGGGTTCCCAGGCAGAGGCTACCTGTGTCCCCTGCGAGGCAGCGGACATCGGGAGAGCGCCGCAGGGCTACGAAAGATACACTACTAAGCCTGACAGCGATCTGAAACATCCCGATTCTTAGTCTGTTGGAAATGTCGAGATCTTAAACTTTTCTGTCGAAAACTGACTTTAAAATGTGACGCTAGTGGATAATTTCTCCCCTGTCCCTGCCTAGTCGAGGGCCCTCCTCCTTCTTCACCAAATCGCGCCAGTGTAACGTACCTTGTTCAGCTCTTGGTCATAAAGTTGTCCTCAGCCTGTCTGTGTGGTCCCGGAGGGCTGGTGGCGGGCAGTTTCCAAAATTGAGGTAATAAGAGATCAGATGAATTTGAGACGACCGGCCAAAAAAAATAAAAAATTTAAAAACAACATTTAAAAAGGATGGGGGAGTCTTAAAGGTTCGGTTCTCCCCCACTGTAAAAGGAAAATTCACTACTATTCTCTTTGAAATTTCCGTTGCACATCAGTCTTCTAATTCTTAAAATTAAAAAAAAAAATGTGCTTTAAAAATAAATTAACTTTAGCTTTTTTTTTCCCCCACCTTCCTCCAGTCCCTCTCCCCTGATATCGGAAAGTCTCTTTTTCGTATCAAAAAAAGCCCGGCGAAGACTCAGCAGAACCCAGGAAGCGCGGAATCGGGAGAAAGTCTTTGGCTGGGGCTGGTTCAAGTCCCTGGTTGAATGGGCTGCTGGAAGCCAGGACTGGGTAATTCTTTCCAGACGTCTTGACTTCTTCCTCGCAGTCGTTGCTTTTCAGCCTCCTCCAACTTAAGGGGGTCTTAACTAGTGAGCTGGTGGGTGTTTTAATAGGGCGGAGGAGGGAGTGGGGGGTGACGGGAGTGGAGAAGGGAGGTGCGGACTGGGGAAGCCAGAGGGGAGGGAACTGGGAACGCGGGCGGGCAGGAGGCAGGGAGGGGGAGAGGGAGAAAGAGAAATTGGCCATTCAAAGCCTCTGAGCTCGAGGCCGCTTCTGAACTCCAATGAATTCAATTAACTTGATTGCTAATTTGTGCCGAGAGATGCAAGGCATACAGGCCGGCCGCCACCTGAGTCTCTCCTTTCTCCAGTGGTGGACCATGCCTTGTAGACGTCTCCGGACTCTTGCCCCAGTTACGTGGATTCTCTATTCGCGATCGGCTCCCCGTAGCGTTTAAGTAGTTTGCTTTAAGGCCAAATGGTGCCCTTAGAAAGTAACCGCTCGGGAGTGAGAGAGCAGGGAGGGTGTGTGTGTGTATGTGTACGCCGAGCCTCCGAAAGCCGGCTGAGACTCTTAAGCCGGCGACTGGTCCATCCACCACCTGGTAACGCCATTCTTCCCTTCAACTCAGAACATGTCAAATGTCCAAGCCTCCCTTACACAGACGTTCTCGCCTTGGGTGCGCGGGGAAAAGTAAAAATAGTAATAAAAATAATTTAGTATAGTTTTTAGCCTGGTCCCCTAATGTGAAAATACGCAGACAGCGGGCGTTATAAATAAAATATAATAATAATTTTTAAAAACCACCCTTCCGAGGGCTCGAAAAAAGCGCGCTTAAAAAAAAGCCGTTTCTAAAGGAATGGCCTTAAATGGCTTTGGCTCCTTGAGAGTCAAAATACTTATTTTTGCTATGGGACGGCCTTTTCTCATCTTCCACTGCCACCAGGCTGAAAAGAGTTCGTTTTCTCAGGTCCTTCCCCCCTGCCCTTTTTTTTTTCCCTCTCTTTGGTCCTCTGCAATTTGCCTCCTGATGACTTAAAATGGACAGTAGGTGGCACTGTTTAGGAAAAAATGAGAGTGAGTTTACAAATAATTTATTTGGTCTTTGGAGATTCCGCTGAAATTATTATAGGGTAAAAGATTTCTTTCTTGCCTTTCCAAGGTTCCTTTGAGGTATGGACTTCTTTCGAACTCTATTAGTCCTTGAAAACTGGGTTCTTTTTCCTTACCAGATATCTTAGACAATAATAAGTCAAAACCGAAAAGTCGAATAAACTGGAAGCGATGCTTTTCAACACGTCGCCCGGGGTGTGGTGTTGGGGGGACGTGATTAGAGGTCAAGTATTTTATTGCAGTACCAGGTAGTCAGTCAATCCAGTCCCCAGGGGCAAACCTGCAAAGTACTAAGCGTTTCCGCCCCCACCCCCACCCCCAGCCCAACCCCGACTGGGCGGTTACACCTCTGGCAAGCATTACCTTGGCTTGATGACTTCACACCGCTCCGGGGAGACCCACTTACCAATTTCCCCTTACAAACCTTCAAGGCTTCAGCCTTTGTTTGAGCCCTGCCTGAGGTGGTTCAGCTCTAGAGGAACTGGCTTAAATTTCAGAGCACCATTCCATCCCACTTAATCAGACTCCTGCTTCTTGATTTTTAGTTTTATAGTAGTTTTTAAATGATAAATTGTAATTTAAAATACATTATCTAACTTAGGTACTCTTACGTATGATGCGGATTAAACTGATTTAGGAGTAGAGGTGGCAACTGTGGTGTCAACTGTCTAGCTATGGGACCCCACAGGGACGCTTAACCTCAGCTCTAAACTCCCATGAATATTATATGTAATGTAGGATTGCCTGTTATTACTCGGTTGCATTTAACTGTTCCTGTGCTAATACTTCAAGGAATGAGAACATTTAGTAAAACTGGATTTCTTTATTAAACAAAAACACATTTGTTGTTTGTCCCCTTGTACTTGTAATTCATGGCCCATAAAGCCAAAGGAAAATGTTCCCCCACTGTGGATGAATAAAAAAGCTAAGTACACATCCATGCATTTCTATCAGTTCCTTCCACCCACCAAGCCCCCAAAACAAATAGGGAAGAGGATAACACAATTGATAGCCAGAGGTGAAAGTTCCTTGAAGGCAGAATACTGGATCACATTTTCTTAGGGAGGCCTAAAATGCAAATCCCACCTTTGATGACGGATGGTGTAATGCGGGTCCTGTTTGTGTGATCCTGGAAGTGTATCTCACCTCTCTAGACCGTTATTTCCTAGTTGAGAAATAAGAAAATACCTGCTTTACAGAGTTATGATGATAGAATTTGTTGAATTAGAGATTAGTGTGATGCCTAACCTCTATGCTTAGGTAGAGCTTCCTAAGGTAATGAAGTGGTTCCCAACATAACCATTGTAGGTATTCAGAAAACTTTAGTACCTTTCTCCAGGCTTCTGTTCTTTAAATTATTCTTGATATGCATTAACTAAGGTTTTATCCTGTGCTCTCTTATTTGATCTCACTGGTTCTCATCGTTTGAATTATTCTGTGCCCATGGATACACCCCAACCCTTCACATTTAACCGAGATTCCTTTCTGAGTCCCAGGCCTGAAGCATGGCTACCAGACACCTAGTTCCAATCCAAAAGCAACAATTAGGAGAGGTGAAATCCACGTTCACTAACAAGTTTTGGCACCAATCAATTAAATAACATTCAATAATTCATTTAAATTGTAACTTCTATTTTAAACATGAGCCGTTTGTATCAGAGGATGACAGATGTTTCAGGTTTTGACATCCTAAGACGTACCTTATTCAACCTATATTATGTTTTCAGCTATACAAGCAAAGAACTTAAGAAGTCGGTAGGAGTCTTACTTGAGTCAGTGTGGCGATCTCTGAAGGAGATCAAGTTTTGCCACCCTAAAACCTGCCTTTTGGGATATTGACTTTAAGCTGGTTATTAACAAACAAAACACTCAGAAAGAACCTTTGACCTCCCCCTCTCCCCTTTCCTGCCTGAGAGATTTCAGATGGAAAGGCCTGCTTCAGGGAGAAAAATCTTAGAATTTTAAAACCTTAGCCTTATTCGAATTGAGTATGGGTGGATGGGAGGGCTCCAGACAGGACCTGGTAGCTAGATCACCCGCTGTGTCCCACTGAAGCAATAATTTGCCTGCCGTGTATGTTCTGCTCTTCCTCAATTACCTGTAAATCACCTACTTCCTTTGCAACCCCATCTCCGCTCCTCTTTTCTCCTGTCTCTCTGTCCTTGGAATTTTCACGCTTATGCGAATGCCCCATGCTCACATTAAAATTTGATTTCTCCTGTTAATCTATCTCTGTCCATTTGATTATTAGCCCAGCTAGAAGAATTTAAAAGGTAGTAGGAAAAGTATTATTTTTTTGGCCTCCACACCTCCCTCATACAACATAAAGCAAATGGTCATATGTGTGATGGACAAAGTATGGAGAATGAGGATTTAGTACCTTTGTAATTCTCTGTATACGTGGTTCCTAAACTTATATTAAAACTTCTATTCAGTCTTAAAAAATTGTTGAGGACGTCACAAAACTTGTTTTTAAGGTTTATTTGTATCAGTACATACATATTGAAAAATAAAAGCTGACTGAAAAGTTTTTAAATAACTTGTTAATTCATTTCAAATAATAAATGCAATGACGTCAACTTAACATATTTTTGTGAAATATGGCATTTTCATTTTTGCAAATCTCTACTATCTGGCTTTATAAAACTCAGCTGATTTTCCTATTTGCTATTTGTGTATGAAGAACATATACTTCAACCAAAACAACAATTGAAATATATATAAATAATTTGGCCGCAAACATGTGTAATTGGGAAACGAAGAAGTATTTTAATAGTATTTTTAGATATTCTTATTTGACGGTATATCAGAACTGAACAAATGTGACCTTTTTTAAAGGTGAATTGCAATATTGAATCTAAAGCAATAGGAATGAACTTTGCATACTCTGTTACATTAAAACCCGTTGGCCTATCTTACACTTAAATGCATCTTTCACAGTCATTCATGAATTTGTAATATTATGTATTGATCATTTAGAAAACATCAGTTCACTGAGTTATGCAGATTTTCAAAATGTTGACATACTTCATTATTCCAAACATTTTAAAAGTCACAATTATTAAAATCACCATTGATCTCATCCAAAAAGTCTTCAAATATTGGGAAACTATCACGGTCATGGCAGCAAATAAAGTTCTCCAAAATTCTAACTTTCTCTTGAAAGCTCAGATATTATCACTGGCAACAAACATGGTTAGTTGTTTTTACTGTAGCGACCAGTGCACTTCATTCGTTCTTCAAGAAAATAAAATATCTTTCAGATACCCAAGTCTGAATTATAGTAGTTTGGCGGTTAGTTGTTCTTTCAAGTAAAAATGATATTCCATGATAAAAGTGGCTAGCTCAGCTCACACCTTAATCACATGAAAGCTTTTCCTTCAGAAAACCAAGGTCGCTTAGTGTACAGCAAGCTGTGTACTTTCCATTTCTTCGCACGGAATGTTAAAAAGACATATACTCAAGAGTTGACATTTAATGAAGCTAATATTTTTTTACTGCTTTATCAAGAACTCTCTTAAATGCAGTATGTTTTCTATTTCTCTGTAAGTGTGTGGAGGTAACGGATATAAAGATTGACAGTACAGTTTGGTGCCACTGCCTTATTTCATGCTCAGGCACTAGCAGCTTTATTCACCATTATTTTTGCACCATCGGTATAAATGTCAACAAAGTAAAAGATGCAGAGAATTTTTTAGTATTATTATAAAAAGTGTTGACCTTATGGATCCCCTCAAAAGGTCTTGGGGTCCCCAAGGGTCTGTATACTACGCTTTGGAAAATACTGTTTTATATTAAGCAAACCAAATATAGCAATATACAAATCTGGGTATTTTACTTTAAGAACATAGACAAACTTGCATATTGAGATTGAGCAGTGAGAAGAGCAATATCAATAGTAAGCCTGTCATATGAGGCATAAATATTGGGACTAGAAATGCTTAGGATGACACAAAGAAGACTCAGAGAATCTGACGTTGGAAAACCTTTACAGGGCTTGGATATCACATGTAAGATTTAATACGTTCTCTATGAC